ATGGCTCAACTATTTTAATAGTCAAATTATAGGCTTAAACCAAGGGTAATCTGCGTGATTCACATTGAATTTTCCTCCATCTTCTTTTGGGCTATGTCTACATTGGCATGATCTTGAGCAAATACTCTTTAATGCAAGAGTTCTAGCATTAAAGTATTTGCGCAAGAGAGCGTCGACACTGGCATGTGCCTTTGCGCAAGAGATGTGCTTTTGCGCAAGAGCATCCGTGCCAGTGTAGATGCTCTCTTGCGCAAGAAAGCTCCGATGGCTATTTTAACCATCGGGCTTTCTTGCACAAGAAATTCATGTTGCCTGTCTACACTGGCCTCTTGCACAAGAACAGTTGCACAAGAGGGCTTATTCCTGAGTGGGAACATCATAATTCTTGTGCAAGAAGCACTGATTTCACACATTAGAACGGCAAGATCGTGCCAATGTAGACACAACCTCACTGTTTATGGAATTTTCAACCCCTACTGCAAAACTACTTGACGCTGACAACTTTATAATTTTGCTCATCAATGCATATATTATGTTTCATTAAAACTTGTTTTCTTAATTTTTCAACTCTTTATGCTCAGCTGTTAGTAGTCATGATGCAATCTTGTACAATCTCTTCACATAAATAACTTGTCATAATGAACCTTTCCCCCCATTTTAAAAAAACCTACTGTTAACTTTTATTATTTTTATCTGATGCTCTATAAACTATATATTTATTTTAAAGTAAATTCCACTTTTTATTCATTCACTGCCTGTATCCCACACTAGCATAGTCAGATCAGTAACCACACTTGGTTTACTTTTAGTGCTCCATTTTTACAGTGCCCTCTTTTTATTGTTTTATAACTTTTAAACTCATGCCAACATTATCAAAAGTAACATCCTAACTTTCTGGTTTTACTCAGACTATTAATAGAAAAAATATTATTTGTATTGTGGTGGAGCCCTGCTGTGTGTTTAGTCTATGTGTAGACCTGGTAAGACAGTCCCCAACCCAAAGACTTTACAATGTAACCTGATTTAGGAAACCACTTAAGCCTGTACTGATGTTTCATTTAACTCAATGAGATATAAGTATGTGTTTAAATGTTCACCTGAACTGGAGTTTAAGATCAGAGTTAACTGTGTTTAATGACACTCGAGAAAATCCAGAATAATGTTATTGGACTTGGCACTGTTTGTAATGAAAGCAGAATCCAGCCTCTAATTACATTTTTCTTTACTTCTCTTTAGTGTGAAAATACACTTATTGTAAAGAGGGGGCTTTGGACACTGAAAGATTATACGTAAGCTAGTAGTACTGGAACTCTTATGACTTGAAGAAGTTTTCATATAACTACCTAGTGGCGTTGCTTTAAAAAAAATCAGGAATCTTTTCAGAGTTTTTCCTTTCTCTCTGGGTTTTTTTCCCCTTTTCAATATAGGATAGAACTGCTGATCAAGATGAGGAAAAAAGGAGGATTGAAGAGGTTCCAAGAAGAAGCTTAATCAGCTACCGTGAATTAAAACCATCAAACTGTTCTTTGTTGCTTTTCACCCTTCTATATTTTTATGGTGTTTGTCTCCTAAATTGTGGAGGGAGTCTGAGGAAGCTAGCTAATTCACATAAAGAAATAACTGCTTGCTGGATTTTTTTTCAATGTATTTGAAAATCTAGGAAATTAGGTGAGATGCTTTATTAATCAGGTTAGCTACTTCAGTAAAGTTGCAAAGTCAAACACTCAAAAATTAGGAACTACCATATTAAGGATACTTGGAAACTTTAATTTCCCAACTGTTTGCAAGGTATTAGTACTCAATTCTCTGATCACCTACTATATTTTCATAAGGACACTCAATCGTGCCAGTCCCAGGATCTATCCCTCCAGGTTCTTTATCCAAAGCCAAGACCCACTTTCCTCCTCCAGGCTCCTTCTATTAATCCCAGTTTCCCTCTTTAGAATCCTCATCCCAATCTCTCCCTCACAGGCTTCTTCTCCAGCTGGTCCTTATCTTCCTACTCATTTCCATGGTTTCTCATCCATCCTGTGCACCCAAATCTCAAGCTCAATGTTGCAATCTGTTTCCTTTATCACTGCCTACTGCACTGCATCTGGCACTTCTCTCAGCATTTGAGTCAGGCTTCTTCCTGTTCTATGTTTCCTGAGAGCTAACTGGTAGAGCACTGAGAAAACAGAGGAGTGGGACTTCCAGCTTTCAGTTCTGGTGCCACAGCAGCAATTACAGTGAGAAATCCCACCAACTCTAAACAGCCCCCTATGGTGAAGGCATGTGCATAAGAGTTTTTCAAAGAAAAGATGGTCAGGCTCTTTTTTAAACATAGTGAAAAATACATTGTTTTGCAATCCTTTTGGAAGCAGCAGAGTTTTTGCTGGAATTTTCTAAATAAATAATTCAGCCTGAGTACAAGCTCAAATGGTTTGTTTCTTATGGCCTTGTCAGTCTTTAAACAGAGCTTTATAATGGGGAAGGTCAGGCAACCTTAACTTAGCTGGTAATGTTGCATATAAAAACCAAGAGTATATGGTGAGATTTTTGTTCCATTAAAAGATTTAAATTTCAGTTCCCTCATTACCAGCAAATGCTGGATAGAATCATAGAATTGGAAGGGACCTCAAGAAGACATTGAGATCAGACCCCTGCCCTCATGGCAGGACTGAGCACAGAGTGGCCCAGCTGGTCGTGAGCATATGCTCAGCGCTGTGCACATGTGCTGGGCACTGTGGGCGGAGTGGCCCAGCTGGCCGTGAGCAATTGCTGTGGCGCAGTGCCCAAAGCGGCCAGACAGCTCTGATCGCACTCAGCCACGTGCTCCGAGTGTCCAGTGTGCCGCACTTTATTCTTTTATAAAATGTAGTAGAGGGCCACAAAAAACTTCTATCGGGCCGCATGCGGCCCTCCAGACGCCTGTTTGACATGCCTGATCTAGATGGTGCTTTGGTCCTGCCATGAGGGTAGGGGACTGGACTTGATGGCCTCTTGAGGTCCCTTCTAGTTCTAATATTCTATGATTCTATATATTCATGAATGTTGCATTTGAGTAATGTTCCTTTAATGGGGTGCTAGTAATAATTTTCTGTGCCTTCTTTACTCTGACAACTAAATTATCAAAAAACGTAAAAAGCAACAAATCTGCGCCTTAGAGACTATCAAAATTTGTAGATGTTATCACGAGCTTTCATGGGCACAACCCATTTCTTCAGATGAGTTATCTTTTGTATTTTTGTAATCTTCCTTGTTCTAAATTTGGTACTACTTATGGTTAGGGACAAAAGACGGGGATCATATGGCTAAGCACTGTGAGGATCATCCGACCATTCTCCCAGTGCAGTAAAGTTTAGTCTTACAATTAGGAGTGAACCTCAACCAAGACTCTGGAGATGAGTAACTCTACAGCCTGAGGGTATTTAACATTCATTTCCAGCTAGGACTTCTGCATAGGGCTCCCATATTTATAATGGCATGAGAAAAATTCTGGAATCTGTTGTTGCACTCAAGGTAGACTAAAGTCCAAATACCGCAGACTGAAACTCCACTTACTGAAGGATCCACGCTCCTGCAATCAATCTAGTAAAGATCCCTCAATTGAACACGGGGTGTCCCTGTTGACGTTTTTAACCCTGTCTCAACTTGCAAGGAGTAAGGGAAGCTGATGGGAGAGTTTCTTCGTCCATCTCCCGCCGTGGAACCACTCTGGAAAAATCGATGCAAGGTACCTGGACTCCAACTATGCAAGCTGGAGTTACCTATCTTGCATGGATTTTTCCACGTCCCTTTTCTACGCATTCCCCAGCTGGCCCCCGCCGGCCCGCCCCAACCTCGCCTGCCTGAGGCCGGCCCCGCCTGGGCGCACGCTCTGCCTCTAAGTCAGGGCTACTCAACACGCGACCCGTGTGTTCGCGGTGCAGTTGAACAGCCCAGCTCTAAGCCAAGGCAGTCTAGCCCCGCCCACTCACAGCTTCGCTCCTCCCCCTTCCCTCTTTCCCCACCCCGCCGAGTCTAGGCTCGCCCGCCTTCCTTGTACGCGTGCGCAATAGAGACTCCTCTCCCACGCCCACAGCATCGCGGCTTCTGATTGGTCCGTTCTCCGTCGCCCTGCGGGCCAATAGCAAATCCCTACTCACACCCCGCCTCGTTACAACGTGCTGTTGCTGTCACACCTGCTTCCTGAGTCGTGACCCGCGGGGAGATGGCGGCGACCGGGCTCTGGCTGCGTCGGGCGGCGGGACTCGCCTCTGGGTCGGGGCCGCTGCGGGCCGGCGTGTGGGGCCGGCTGCTCCCT